TACAGAAGTGTGAAAATCACACTTCTGCAGGTTCTTATATGACCCTGTAAACAGGGTCTGATATAAGAACCGTGTTTCTTGTTTTCAGACTTTCCAACACTTGATCCTATCTTAGTGTCTCATAAGTCTTATTGCTAGGTTGGTCAGTAAACGTTCACTCGTTGTGTTTCTTGTTTTGAGACTTTCCAACACTTGATCCTATCTTAGTGCCTGATAAGTCTTATTGCTAGGTTAGAATATAGGATGATGTAGAAGAAACTGGAGGTAGGGACAGTTGGTTGGTGATACTAGATGATATAGGTTTTAAGTGTTCTCTTAATTGACTGCAGAGCCTTCTAGTGGCTGATCCAATATATCCCTAGTTGCATGTCGGGCACTTGAACTCGTATACCACTAGCAAGGGACTGAAAGGATATTCTTTGTCTAAGAGCCATTTTAACCTGGACTGTTTTAAAGACACATTTTTACTGAACTTCTGGATATAGCTGTTTGATAATTTTCTTCTTAATCGTGCCTAAGTAGGGTATGGCTAAAGTAATGGATTTCTTTGATACATCTACCATAACAGTTGGGATGTTTAGTTTTTGTCTGGATTACCCTATTTAGGAATAACAATGGAAAACAATTTATCTTAATTATTTGTTTAATGTTTTGATTTCCTTATGTTTTAAAGGTATTAAGCATGATAGTAATTAATAAAGTTAATGATATCTTTCTAAAATGATGATCCATTATGTGTGGGTGTTAACATCCAATACCCAGAGTTGTCTGGTTTGATTGCCATAACTTTTTGTATGGTAACTGGAAACTATCCAACAGTGTACGTTTGCTACTTTGTTTTAGGTTTTTTGCTCTTGAGGGGGGGAATAAAAAACACCTGAAATAAGGAACATTTCCACTGTTTCATTGACTTTTGGCTTGTAATTTAAGGACACCAGTACTTAATCAGTTAAATGAATCAATTATTACCTTCCACGATGGAGCGTTTACAATTAGAATTTAATGAGGTCATTATGGATTTTATAAAATTTATCTAACATTGTCCTCTATACAATGTCTGCTTCTTTAACAGGTTTCATTAACTAGTAGAAGTAATAGGTGGACACCTGTGACTACAAGTCATCTTTGAACAACTGAAATAGTCATGTTAATCATGATTATTGTTGTGAAAAGTTTATACACATACAAAAACCTAATTAATTTCTTTGATTTTTATGTCTGATTGTTTTAAGACACCAGTAAATGGTTGTTGTATTACCTAAGATCCATGATGACCCGAGTGACTTTAATCTTTTGAGGCAAAGAAGTTGATTTCCTCAACATATCAATTGCAACATCCATCCCATTGCTAGTCAAGGCTTGATTAGTGTCTACCATTAGGCAGAAGTGGATGACGTCCAGAAAATTATTCTAAAGAAATGAAATTGAAATTGTTACTCTCTCGTAGCTTATTAGTCTAGTGATATGTCATGATTTGTTTGTTGTTAAACACAAAGTTACACAGTGAGCTACTTTTGCTCTACCCACCAAGGTATCAAAACCCAGTTTTTAGAGTTATAAGCCCTCAGACTTATTGCTGAGTCACATGAACAAATAATAAGGAAAATGAAATGGTCACCCTAACGTTGATAAACTCTATTAAACAAGTAAATATCGAAAACAATTATTTTACGGTGAATATTGAAATGGATAATTTACTTTTTACAATTAATATAGCCACTTGTATAACATAGACAATAATTAGTGAAGTGAAGAATGTTCCTGCTTACAATAAATAATACTAATAACGTTACTTAAAGTGTAAACAATCAATGATGGGGAAGATGAACATTTTCACAACTAGTTCCACCCACTTGCACAGAATCTTCATACTTAGTTTCACAGATTCAAGTGCAAACCAATGAACGTTTTTTCTTTATGGCAAACTTGGTTTGAAGAATGCTTATTAAGTTATCTAGATTCAAATGTCGGACCCTGTAATCACACTTCTGCAAACGAGTGAACATTTATTGACCAACCTAGCAATAAGACTTATGAGACACTAATATAGAATCAAGTGTTGGAAAGTCTCAAAACAAGAAACACAACGAGTGAACATTTATTGACCAACCTAGCAATAAACTTTATCAGACACTAAAATAGCTCTAATGAAGATAAAATATAGCAGTAAAAGCAGTATCATTAAAGATTTTTAAAACTTTTCCAGTGTCCCAAAAAATGGAAAACAGCAAGCCTGTGAAAAAGGAGCTATCCCAGTCCTAACTGATCTACTGAAAGAAGAAAATCAAGATATAAAGGCAATGGCACTCGGAGCTTTAATGCTGTAAGTATATATTTTGGAACAGTAGAGTAAACACCTGTAATCTTCATGATTGCAGGTGTTTACTGTGGAGAGGAAGGTGTTATATTCAATCTCCATGACTGAATATAACACCTTCCT